GTTGACCTGGATGGTCTCGATCTCTTGACCTTGTGATCCACCCGCCTCGGCCTCCCAAAGTGCTGGGATTACAGGCTTGAGCCACCGCGCCCGGCCGTGTCTGCTTGTTCTTACTAACCTTCCCCAGACATGGATTACAACCATATATAGATCTTTATTTTCATTTTTACTCTTTAGTTTTGAACTGCTTCACCATTTCCTGAGTCAGTTAATACTTGAGGACTGACATTAGAGTGGGTATCCCATCAGTATTTACTCTTTTTATTTTTGAGACAAGGTCTTGCTCTGTCACCCAGGCTATAGTGCAGTGATGCGATCTCACTGCAGCCTCCGCCTCCTGGGTTCAACAGTCCTCTCACCTCAGCACCCCCACCGAGTAGCTGAGACTATAGGTACATGCAGTGATCTCACTGCAGCCTCCACCTCCTGGGTTCAACAGTCCTCCTACCTTAGCACCCCCACTGAGTACTGAGACTATAGGTACATGACACCCTGCACAATTACTTTTTGTGTTTTTTTGTAGACAGGGTTTTGTCATGTTGCCCAGGCTGGTCTTGAACTCCTGGGCTCAACTGAGCCACCATGCCCAGTGACTATTTACTCTTCTGTATAAACTTACTAATTAATGTCACTGACTCAAAGTAAAATTAGCAAAGATAATTGCCTTAAAGTCTCTAAAGTCTGTCTTAAAAAAATAAAATGCATCTTTCTTGTACATCTTTGCATTTCTACCAGGTAATAAGAGTTAAAACCCAAAAAGAAAATGCTGATTAATATATTCCCCAAAATAAAAACACTGAGAACCATGGACAAACTAGTCCTTACTTGGTAATGTATTTTCTGTATTTTTCTCTATATGCCTCCATTCTAACTGATTTCCTCAGAGTTTCTTTTTCTGCCTTAAGAATAGTTTATTTTGTGCCTTAAAGATTAGTTGGCTTTTTTCTGGCACCAGTGGTAAGAGCAGTGGTTTCCCTTTTTCCCTGAAGGTCAACCATATAATGTGTTAAGTTGCCACTGGCTGCAGGCCTAGGAGTCTGAGTCTGCACTTGATTCTGGGTCAAACTTCATGAAGAATGACTTCCCACTGTTGTTCAGGGAGGATAGCTATTTGGTTTGGAAACTGACTATTCTATTTCTTTCTAGTGTAAAATGAACACTTAGTGATCATACTCATAACTGTTATTTGCAATAGTGCTAATAGTTGAGTGAGTGCATCTCAAACTGAAATGACCTTACTATGTAATCTGGCATGGAGTAAAAATGGACTAGAAAGAGAGTTCCATCCATTTAATATTGGGAAAGAAAAAGTGCAACTGTGTATGTGAGATCACAGGCAAGCAATGGGAGAGATGATTCTTGGATTTGTCTTAGGCAAGTGGAATGCAAGGGAAGTGGCATAGAGCAAGGAGGGAGATCTAGAATCTGGAATAGATACATAGCAACTGTTAATAGTGTGTTTCCATGGGGTACTAGCCATAATTAATGTTTATAGTGTCTGCCTTTACCTAGGCTGTCACTAATGGCACCAGCAGAACCTTTTTATTTTATTTTTAAAGTTTTAAATTTTATTTTTTTTAATACTTTAAGTTCTGGGGTACATGTGCAGATTGTGTAGGTTTGTTACATAGGTGTACATGTGCCATGGTGGTGGTTTGCTGCATCGATCGCCCCATCATCTACATTAGGTATTTCTCCTAATGCTGTCCCTCCCCAATCCCCCCACCCCCTGCTATTCCTCCCCTAGCCCCCCACCCCCGAGGCCCTGCTGTGTGATATTCCCTTCCCTGTGTCCATGTGTTCTTGTTGTTCAACACCCACTTATGAGTGAGAACATGCGGTGTTTGGTTTTCTGTTCTTGTGTCAGTTTGCCGAGAATGATGGTTTCCAGTTTCATCCATGTCTTTGCCAAGGACTTGAAGTCATTCTTCTTTGTGGCTGCATAGTATTCCATGGTGTATATGTGCCACATTTTCTTTATCCAGTTTGTCATTGATGGGCATTTGGGTTGGTTCCAAATCTTTGCTATTGTGAACAGTGCTGCAATAAATATATGTGGCACCAGAAGAACCTTTACGATTACATAGCCTCAGTTCCTTAGCATTCCTCTAGCAGAGACTGAGAATGAATAATTACATATTTTAAAGTGGAAGCTTCTTTTTCAGACCAACAGTTATTGATATACTTTGGATTTCCAAGGGCAGGTTCCATGTAAGAGTTAATGGGAAATGACTGTGGTATGGGCAGTTTCCAGCTTTTTTTTTTTTTTTTTTTTTTTTTTTTTTTTTTTTTTTTTTTTTTTTTTTTTTTTTTTTTTTTTTTTTTTTTTTCTAGTTTCCTGTTTTTTTTTTTTTTTTTTTTTTGAGATAATAGTCTTAACTCTGTTGCCCAGGCTAGAGTACTGTGATATGATCTTGGCACACTGCAACCTCTGCCTCCTGGGTTCAAGCGATTCTCCTGCCTCAGCCTCCTAAGTAGCTAGGACTACGGGCACGCGCCATAATGCTTGGCTAATTTTTGTATTTATAGTAGAGATGGGGATTTGCCATGTTAGCTGATCTCGAACTTCTGACCTCAGGTGATAACTCACCTTGGCCTCCCAAAGGCTGGGATTACAGGGGTGTGCCACTGCGCCCAGCCAGTTTCCAGCTTATAAACACAATGTGTAAATGCCTTTATAGACCGACAAACAGCAAGGAAACTAGAGGCTTAAATTATACTTCTTCACCACTTCACAGAATGTGCTCTATGCAGATGCTTTAGGAGCATTACCATCACCCAGGAGCTCATTAAAAATGCATAACCTCAGGCACCACTGCAGACCTTCTGAATCAGAATCTGCATTTTAACAAGATCCCCAGGTGATCATATATATATATATATGTGTGTATATATATATATATATGTATATTTATATTACACATACACACACACATTTAAAGCTTTAGAAAACTTGCTGTACTCTAGCCCCAACATGGAGAATTTAGAACAGCAAGATAGTGCTGCCTTGTCAAGGAGGAGGCAGCATTGTAGAATGGTTATGAAATAGACTCTGGGAGGGAGGCTGCTTTGCTTTGAATTCTAGCCTTGAAACATTGCTGTACAACCTCAGGTAAGTTACTTAACTTTTTCTACCCTTAGTTGGAAAATGAGAATAATACTACCTCTGATGGGTTTTGGTGAGGTTAAATGAGTTTGAAATACTCAAGTGTTAAGCCTATGTCTACCCATAGTAAAAAGTAGGTCAGTGTTAGCTGTTGTTGCTGTCTTCATTGTCATCATCATCACGAAAATACAGCAGTAATGGGAAACACTACCCCCATCTTATTTAATGGAGATACGTCCTAACAGTAAGCTCAAAATGCACTTTTTCCATAGACACTATAGTATAAATGGTGGTTGGGTATCATTTTGAAAACACTATTAGTAGGCCAGGTGTGATGGCTCTCATACCTGTAATCCCAACACTTTGGGAGGCCGAGGCAGGCAGATCACTTGAGCGCAGGAGTTCATGACCAGCCTAGGCAACATGGTAAAACCCTATCTCTACCAAATATACAAAAAAATTAGCCAGGCGTGGTGATACATACCTGTGGTCCCCGCTACTCAGGAGGCTAGAATGGGAGGATTGCTTGAGCCTGGGAGGTGGAGGTTGCAGTGAGCCAAGATCTCACTATTGCACTCTAGCCTGGGCAACAGAGCAAGATCCTGTCTTGAAAATGTGTGTGTGTGTGTGTGTGTTAGTACTGTGCCTCTGGTACATTATGTGTATGTGAAATATAGAAAGTGGAGAAATGCGGTGGCTCATTCCTGTAATCCCAGCACTTTGGGAGGCCAAGGCAGGAGATCACTTGAGATCAGGAGTTTGAGACCAGCCTGGCCAATGTGGTGAAACCTCATCTCTACTAAAAATACAAAAATCAGCTAGGCATAGTAGCAGGTGCCTGTAATCGCAGCTACTGAGGAAGCTGAGGCAGGGGAATCACTTGAACCCAGGAGGTGGAGGTTTCAGTGAGCCCCACATGGCACCAATGCACTCCAGCCTGGGTGACAGTGAGACTCCGTCTCAAAAAAAAAAAAAAAGAAAGTGGAGAAATGTTTTACGTTCTCCACTTGATAAACTACCTTGCAGAACAGAACCTGTTGGTAAGTTGCAAACTGTCTGTGTTAGGATTTCCAGTTAACTCAGATATTTTATAGCCAAATAAAGTAGAAACTGGTGAAGAATCTTTTAGGCATACTTGTTCTATTTCAGAAGACAGACTTTTAAAAAAATTTCTAAATTTCTTTGTTACCATTATCTTTTTCTCATCTAATATCTTTTTGGAATAGTTCACATG